CAGAATATTTGCAAAAGAACAATGAGCAGCATGAAAACAGACTTGGAAACACAATAATGAAGATAATCTGAAAATGTTAAACAAGCATGTATTGTACACAAGGGAAGCTGTATTGGATATGGAGCCTTGCACCTCTTGTTCACAGGTTCAAATGTAGGACAATGCTGGTACTGAGAATTTTTACTCTTTTACAAATGTCTGTTGTCCAACATGAAATGGATACATTGCCCTAGTTCAGGCAACAGCACAGCACAGAGACCAAAGCTGTGTTTGGATGTACTTTCCATTGCATTTTATTTTTCAGAACTTGAATGTTGTTTGGAATAACAGCTTCAGACTGTCCAAATGATATGACAATAGTCCAATGATACTGCAAAGAGTTCTTATTTTCCCCCCTCCTGGCAGAATATATAAAAGATCCTTGCGAAAGATCCTGAAAACTCTCCTGACATTTTAAGAACACGATCTATTACATTTTGTGTGTTGCAGCGTTGTTTTCTGTATGACAACCTGGGGTCCATTTGGATATGAGCTCATCTCTCCACAGATAGGAAAGTACAGAAACACAATCAGCAACTGCTGATTGACTCTTAAAGGGGAAGCAGTAAAAGCATGCTTCTAACAATGAAGTGTTCTAACTCTCCCTGGCTTCTTTAAAGAAGGAAGAAAACCTCAAAGTAAACATATACATAATAGTCCAGCACTTTCCATGAGTGATGGATTTACTCTTGGCATATAACTAACGAACACATGGTATGTACATAGTTGTAAGGGTAGAATGGCATATGCATAGTTGTAAAGTGAAAAGGTCCAAGAAAGATAATAGTTAGAAGCAATCCTCACTTTCTCATCCTCCTCCTGACCTGTGGTTGGGGGTGGAAAAGCAGAGTGATCAGGGAGGGCATGGGAGGAAGCCTCAGAGAGCAGGCAGGATAAATTTGTCTAAATAATTCACTCACTATCTATTAGCCAAGGGAGAAAGACACATATTCCAGTGCTGCCTTCTGAAACAGAATTCTGGATTTGACAAGCCATTCTTCTGGAAACTGCAATGAGAAGTGATCAGTGGAGACTAAAATTAATCACAAATTGTTGAAAGCCCTAATGTATATCGCAGAAGCATCACCTAGACATCAAAAGGCAACACAGGAGTTACAGAAGTGCTTTTTTAGACATTAAAGGTAGATACTTGACAAGCTAAGAAGATGGCTTTAGTACGGAGCAGAACGCTATGGAAACAGTGATCAGTATGTATCAAAATGAAAAGTGTATCCATAAAATCAGCTTATAGTCTGTCCCTGAAATAAATCTGGACATAGAACAACAAGAAAAATAAAGCGATGGACACCAACTGTTACTTCAGACGGGTGTATCAGGCGCTTGGGATGAAAAGATGAAATAAAACTATGGTATTTAGTGGGATTCTGGAGAAAGGCTGCTGTGTATTCTTATACAGTAAGATGATAAAAATGTTACATGTAACTGAGATGGGAACATGGAATACTAAGCCCCTTTTTCCCCTCAACAAACAATAAAATCTAGAAGTAAAGGTGCCTATGCTTCTTAGCTATCAGTCCTGCTGTTTGAAGAGAAAGACCCATATCTCAAGCCATTACAGCAGAAACGTGATGGGGCAGAGTGTCTCTTTTTGCCCCATGAAAGTTGGCTCAGCCACCAACATAAAGGTAGCAGAAGATCAGGAATTCTTTCCTCCCTGAATTGCATCCAGAAGTGTCCAACACTATTCTAAAGAACAAGAGTTGCTAATCCCGCATCATCCTCCTACTGAAGAATAGTCAAATGGTCTCGTTGCATTATTTGAGCTACAAGTCTCAGGGAGCGTGTGGGGAGGGGACGACTAAAAAAAAAAAAAAAGTAGTTATGCTGGAGACCAGCAGCTGTGAAAGGTGAAAATATGTAAAGAAACAAGAATACAGAAAAACCACTGAAATGATATGAGATGGCCTGACTTCCCCTTGTCTGAGTGCTTCACCCTTCTTGAGTTAAGCAATGAAAAGAACCCTATAACGAATAGCAATGGGTTTAAACTTGGGCTGCACTATAGCACAAGACACTGAATAAACAATATTACATGAATAAACCTGCTTATCATGGGATTATAGGTGGGTCAACATATGACAGCAAACTGCAATTCATGGGTAGTTTTTGTTTGGGGTCTCATTAGAACAACCCTGTGCCAGATTATTTCCACATACTAGTAAAGAGCCTGTAAAATAGAAAAAAAAAATAATCAATTTTAGGACTCTTTTTTAAAAAGTTCTGATTATTTTATGGGATTTACAGAGTTGCTATGTGGTGCACTACATCTCACAATCTTTCAAGAAATTTCTTAGTTCAGGGCTTACTGGGAGGAAGATAAAAATTTTAGTAGCAAATCTAAGAACCTCTTGGCCAAAAGCTAAGAATGTAGATCAGTAACCATCAGACTTGATTTGAAGAAATCATGACAATACTGCAAAGCAGCTGCTATCAGATCTTAAATAAAGGGGCTTGTAACTTACCAAAACCTACTTCTATCCCCAAATCCCCCATGCCGTAACCTATGCTAAATAAGGAAAAGAAAACAGGCAACCTAAATAAGAAGGGTCATCACATTCTGATCATTGACTTTAATTGAAATGGTGTTGACTCCTACACCCAGATAAGGAGGTCAAACACAGATTCCAAATAAACTTTGATATTTAGAAACCACAGAGGAAGGAACTGTTTTAAGAACAAGAAGTGACTGTGTGATTGGAAAGATGCTGAGAAACAGAAATGGTGATCAGCTGGCTGCTCTCAGTGAGTGCTTACTACTTCACCCATCTCTTTATTTATTAGCTTATATTCATTTGTGATCGTGGTTATTAAGATGCTTCATCTATTTTTTTCCCTTAAAAAGGAGCATATAACAACAGTACTGGATTTCACTGGTAACATTAATATCTTACAACTCTCATCCAACTTCCAAATGGGGAAAAAAATATATTAGTCTCCATCCATATAAAAAAATAAAAAAATAAATTGATAGAATAACTACTCCAAACAAAGGAATCAATATTATTATATAATGATGTCTATAGCACCATTATTAAAAAGACTATTTTCTGATATTTTCAAATTTTCACCTTTTATTATTTTATCTGGTTAAAGGAGAGTAAGCACCGTACCTGGATATCACTCAGCTTATTCAGGAAACGGGTTGTTAACTGAGGTCCATTCTCCATAGTTGGAATGTGCAAATGCTGACATTGAATAAAGGGGGGGGGGGGGGGGGGGGGGAAAACATTTTTTGGGGGGGAGAGAGAGAATAATGTGTAAAAACAGCTTTATGAATAACTTAGGGTCACCAAGAATTTTGATAAATCAATTTATCAAGCCTTCTAGCCCTCCTTACAAATATTGTTGAAATGTTTTTATAGGAGGGCATGCTGAGCCCGTGAAAAGTTAGATTAGTTGAATTGTTGTGCTGTTTTTAAAGACAGACTAATCTAAGCCTCCCAAAAGATCTGTCCAAAATGGAGAGCATATTGTACAGGCAAGAGAAGAAACACTGTACACAGCATTTCATTTCAAAGTAGATCATATACAAACACAACAGGTGTATATTTATAGTATTTATTACTCAGCACTTTGACGTCTCTCATGTTATCTTGGCATCTGATAATACTGATACATTTATTCCCTCGTAATAATTCAAGAAATGTCACCTTACAGGCATTTACTGTACTTGTCATATTTAATGGAACAAAGCACATCCATATATGCAGCTGCAATAACCCAGCCTTCTGAACTAACTTTGTGCTGGCTAAATAGCATCAAGTCAGCTTAACAGGCTGAACGCCTGTGGAATTCCACCTGTGCAGGAGAAACCTCCCATATGGTGTATAGTAGGTGAAAGCAGCTGTGCATCTTACTGAAACAGCTCTTCCATCAGAGCTGGGTTCCCTGCAACGAGGGGTGAAGAAGAGATGAACTTTAGAAGGAAAGAATGCAGTGGTTCAGGAATTTGGTTCCTTGCAAAAGTCCTTCCCCTCCTCACCTTTCCCAGGTGCCTTAATTTTGGAAAAAGTGTTCAATAAAGGAAACGTGGGGCAATGTATTTTTCTGTATTTTCAAACAGGTTGGGAACTTGTATTTTTTCCATTTCCCAGGAACTGATATTTTATGATTTTAACTATTAAAAAAACCCAACAAGATGAGAGGAAAAGTTCTCTCTTCTGACAACGTACTAGTAACTCACTTGAGAACCAACATACTGACACTGTTCATCTTTCCAGAAAGGAGCCTCTGGCAGCACTCCTTTTCTATCTTACTTGTTTTTTGCTTCAGCTGCAATTAATTATGATAAAATTCTAAAGAAAGAAGAAGGGGGGGGACACACAACGACAAGACAAGACAGACATTTTCTTACCTTGCCCTTATATAAAATTTTAGAGATAGGACATACAATACAAGCTGTTCCAGCACCAAACATCTCCTTTACTCTGTTCTCTTCCAAGGCAGCTGTCAGGTCACTCATGGTGATATATCGCTCGGAGACTTTAAATTCTCCCTGCACAAGAAGAATCATCCATAAAAATTGTTAAAAGTTTTAAAATTGTTTGTATTTTTGTTTTTCATGTTGAAACATCTCTAACAGAACTATTAACCTAGTGGCAATGAATCAAGTTTTGGCTGTGATCTTGTGATCTTTTCAAACCTCGCAGTACCACACAAGACAGACTCTAATCTGAATGACCTTCAAGGAACACAGTGGTTTGCCAGATACAACACTGATGATTAAGTGGCATTTCCTTCTGATTTGGTACAGAATTTCAATATTGCATTAGGAAATAAAGCAGCAGAATTTCTCATGGGTTATGCGACACAGGATCTGACATGGCCTCCAGAATCCTAGAGTTTGTACAAAAATTACTCAATTATGTCAAGAGACCTTTGCATCCCACTCTCAGACAATTCCTAAGCAAAATACATTCTGTTAATTCCACCTACAACGACAACTAGATGTGATACTTTTCTTTAATCCCTGGTGAAATTTCCTACTGTAGCCTGCACAAAGTTGTTATATACAAAAATTAACTGTACTGCAGGTATGAGTAAAGCAATTCACGTTGGACAGTCTTAACATAGGAAGTGTTTTACCTTCTACAAGTGTTGAAGATGCATAGCAACTGATTGAGGGGATGTGTCTAAAGAACAAAAATAAACGTCAAACTTTGAAATCTTCATTTCACGGATTTATGTGGACTTTATTTTCCTATCAAACCAAACTAAAGCTTAGCCCTTGTTTTATGTGCAAGCTTTTTAACATGAAACAGAGTTGCTTACAATAGCAGAAAACATGATTAGCTCTGGACAGGATGGTATTTGGAGAGAGAGGCAGGGACACCATGTAAGCAGAGTTTCAGATAGATTAGAGAATGGAGGTCAGGAAGAAAAGAACAACCTTTGTGAGAGTAGAAGACACCTAAGTATTCAAGAGGACCGAGGTGAGAGTCTAGTATCTCACAAACAAGCCCTACCTACTGGGAATATATGTCTGTCTGTAAAGGAGATGGGACTGAGAAGTATGCGTGCATATCTACACTAGGGGAGTACCAGTATGAATAAAGATGCATAAGAGTTCAGTGCAGGTCAACAAGTGGCACACGTGCCACAAAATACATGACTAGCTCTCTTCACTGCACATTAGATTTAAGGGATATAATTTGAACTGTATTTCAGGAAGTCTTCCAGCTACAGGTGGTTGGAAGCTGAGTTAATACCAAGGGGAAAGTATCACACATGCCTGTGTTATTCCTACTACTACTCCCTAAACAAAAGCCTGGCCAAAACCAGGATAGTTTTGGCCAGGCTTGTGTTTAGGGAGGAGTAGACAGGATAGACAGGATACTGAGCTTGATGAGCTTTTGGCTGTATAGTATTCTTATATAAGCCACAATAAAACCTTTGAATACAGTACAGGCAGAGCGAACAGTTTGTTGCATTTCAAGGTATGAGGTAGTCCCAAGTGTCCAAATAAGTATTCGGACAGCTACAATACAGAAACGGAATCTGGAAGCAGACAGATGACTTCAAGACTGTGGCTGGATTTTAGGCTGCATGGTAGTTATTAGAAATAAGGGTTAAACCATGAGAACTAAGTGGAGAAATAGTGTGCTGATGACTGAAGTATAGCTGTGGTCATGCACGGTAATTGTTCGTTTCCTTGCTTTAAGTTGCCGGTACCGGTGGATTTAATGAGAATTTTCATGTTGAATACTACATGGAGTTACTTTAACAAGCTTGGTATTGTTCTGTGTGACAGGTGTGGGTATTCTGATGATGTTGCTGGGAATCTATAAATTAGCATGCCCTTAGTTCCCATTTAGGTTAAGAGATTTGACCAGATCAGTTGAACTTCAAGATAATGAGCATCAGGAATGCTTACTTTCATCAATGATATAACTTGATAGTTGAAACTATTACTGCCAAGGTCAGAACACTCACCCAGTTGCGTGCCAGATCCAAAATGCTTTGTCTTGTCACTCCTGGAAGGATGATGCCATCTAAAGGTGGGGTTGCCAGTTCATTTTCTGTAAAACACAAAAGAAATAGAAACAGTGGTTGGAAAACAAAGAAACAAAAATAAGGTTCACTAATATTACACCAAACATGAAAATTAAAAAGCAGATGAATCATATCAGAAATGTTCCCTGCCCGGTAAGATGCAACATTTATCAGAGTTCTACAAGAACACAAGTTACACAAATTCAATTACAATAAGTTGTTGGGTGTTTGAAACCTTTTGAGTACATTTCAGTAGATGGGGAAGAAACACATTTAATTCATTAATAATTACATGGCTAAAGCCTAAAAGTAGGTTTTATTCCTCAGTCTGTTATGGATTCGCTGTATAACTACTGTGAACTGTTGAATGGCTCAGCCTTCAAATTCAGAATAGGGAGGCACAAGGGAAAGCTATGCCACATAATCCCAGGGCAGATCATGACTTTCCCTGAAATGCTTTCATTAATTTAGGAATATGGGGTTCACTATACCTACTTTGTAGCATTAATATGAAACATCTACCAGAAATTTTGAGGCTCATTTACTGACCAAGCAAAGCATTGGAAACCTTGCCAAATGCGTCTTGAGAGGACACTTCCTTAATGATCTTTTGGTTTCGTCTAGACATCCCCCTCAGCTAATTTTCTCTTTACACAAAAAAAGCAGTTCTAATAAAATTCTGAAAGCACTAACAACTTGAGCTGTTCAATTAATTTGGTTTGTTAGCTTGTTTTTGGTTTTCTTGTTTGCTTTTGAAAAAGAACATTAAATAAATGTTCATCTAATATAACTAATGAAACCATAGATAAATGGTAATCCATACTTGGTAAACACTTACATAACAATACAGAAGGTTGTGTGTAGTCTTTGTTCTTCCATCTGACCTTTCAGCAAATCAGAGTTAATATGTTTCATTTTAAACCATCACTTTCATTTTAAACTATCACATAGCATACTCAGTGGTTTCTATTATCAGAGAATACTGAGAATTTACTCTTTCAGCCAGCCAGCCTTTTCTAAGACAGTCTCAGATTTGCACTGAGAAGTGAAGACATCCACAGTCTTTCAGTAACATTCTTCATATTTTTTTCCCTAACTATTTTCTCTTCCCAGTGAGAATCCATTCTCTTTCTTGATCTTATAAGGATGCTATCCTGCTCATTAAATCCACGAGCCATTAAGGTTTTTGACTCATTTTTACCTAGTTCACATAAAAGAAGATATCTATCTTCATGTTTTTATTACGCCTCTACCCACCAAAGATCACTAAATCCAGGCCTGCTTGAACGAGTCGCAATGGAAAAGTTGTCCTAAAAATGTTGCTATAGGTCCCTTGCAGCTGGGTAGAAGAGAGAAACACGATATTCATCCTTGGTCTCAGAGAGCAGGTTGAGTTCAGCTGCTTAATACTCTGTTTTCTACAGTCACCTAGACAATTCTGTGCACAAACACTGCCTGCCAGCCAGTGGGCACACAGCTCCAGACTGACTCCAGCATGGACTTTCTCCTGCTCTGCAGGACGGAGCTTTGGGAGCTGCTGAGCTGGGATAGGGGCAATGGAGCATAAATAAATGGAAACGTTCATTGAATCTGCTACTCACTGTCCATTCTCTTGGGAGATGTCTGTTACTTTTTAATGCAGCCACCCCTGGATTTATTCATTTGGACTAGAAGTTTTTCCTACCTATGCTTCCATGTTCCTTTTATGAGGATCCATACAAACATAAGTAGTAGATATAAACTGCCGTGCCAAAATGTATAAAAAAGCTGCGCTAGAACAGGCTATATATTCTGCTCTGGTTTGACTAACCAGTAGTGCCATTCCATAACCTATCCTCAACTTCTAAGTACAGTAGTGGTCTCTTCTTTCTCATACAGTTAGGAATAGCTTTCCTTTTTTGAAGTCTGTCTAGCATCACTCCTAATCGTGATGCCTGTCTGGTCCTACTTCTGGCACAACTATCAGAAGAAGAGGACTTTAAAAAAAAAAAACTTTCCATGAGCCACAGGGTTCACCTGATTCTGAACACTGAAAAACTGATATTCTGCATTTGTGACCCAGTCGTATACAAAGTGCTCCCCTTTCTCTAACAGAAAACTTCAAATAATGTGGACCTTAATACCAAGGATTGTGACTACACACCAGATAATATTCCGCATTTGGTGATGTCGCCACAGATCTTGGCCAGAACCTGTTTAAGCTCAGAAACATGTATTAATTGATTTGAGCTAGTTTGAAAAGGTGCCAGGCCAAACCAGCCGCCAAACAGCACAGAACAGACAGGACATGGGAGTCTCGAAACGTTTCAAACAGCCTGCTCTGTAGAATTTTGTCAAGCACACATATGATGCCTACCAGCCTGCGGCCACCCAAGGAACATCTGCTCCCCTGGTATCCGGCAGAGATGATAATGCAATACAACACAGCATGCCAAAAAGCTCATCCTCTCTGTGAATTGATGCCAAACCAGGCTCCCTATGACATCAGTTTGTCCATCTCCAAAAAAAAAAACCTGTGAGCTCATAGACTCCATTTGCCTTCTGAATTATTTTGATGGGCTAGAAGCCTTATAACGTATAGCAGCAAAAAGGGGGGAAAGGCATTTGAAGGAAATTGTTAGGGTTTCTCTTCAGTTGACTACTGTTATTGTTATAGTAGTAGCCCTACCAGTCCAGTGCCCCATTACACTGGGCGTGGTATAGGCATGCTGTAACAATGGAACTCCATCAGAGTCTTTAAAGGGATTATTAAAATGAGGTCTTGCATATTACACAGCTTCAATTTTTACACACCCATTTTTATGAATATATAGCAGATGAGATTCCAAATATGGGATGCCTTCAGTACCAGTCACACGATAACAATGCTGAGAAATTCACCAAAATATATTTTACCAAAATTATAACAGATACCAACTGAACTTCAGGGTCAAGGAGAACCCAGGAAACCCTGATTTCACTATTACCAACAGCTGACTTCATGTCCCAGTTTGTTCTGGACCTTTCTATATCTTTCTCCTTTTTTTCCTCAGGCTTTTCTTCTGTTCTCCCCTCATGCAATCACTCTGTCTTCACATCTCCATCTTTCCTCAATTACTCTCCCCTCCTTTTCTTTGTCTGCCATCTCATTCATCTCCTGCTCTCCCCTCCACACTATTGCTATGGCTTTCTATTAGAGTAGAAGGTGTGATACTTATTTTGTTGGTAGTCTACTTGTACAAGACACTTCTGCAGCACAAATAATCCTCCACCTACAGAAGACTAAGCAAATTTGCCCGATGTTTTACCTGACTGTTCCAAAGAATCTTTTAACATATTTATTTTTTAATTTATGTAAGCTATTTTGAAGTAGGCAGTATTAAACCCCATTTTAATATCAGCACAAAAATATTAAGTAATGCCTGAATGCTATTCACAATGCCTTAACATTAAAGCTAGAAGTAGAGCCCAGATGGTTCCAAATCATTTTGAAGAAACTCAATTTTTGGAAAGTGAAGACAGATTTCATAGTTAGCAACCTTCAGGTTGGACATATGTTTCAATTTCAAGGTTTTCTATAAAGTCAAGCCTCTATTCTAGGCAGAAGAAAAGACATTATTAAAGAAAACAAGTTTCAATGTTAACAGCTTCTTGGGATTGTTATATGCTCTGAAGATGAGTGTGGAAGGGACTGTAAGGTGACCAAAATTTTCACTTTGTGAACATAAACTGTAAACAGTATTAAATGAACGAAATATCATACTCCTGTATTTATTCAACAGCAGGGATCTGGATTTGGTCCTATTACATGCCTCAGCTAGAGCAGCAGTGGGCATACAAGAGCAGCATAGTGCATGTCATGTTATTTTACTTGAAATTGAGTAGTTTCTTCCCCTACTTCCACCTCGATGTTACAAACAAAACATTTTTCCAGGCTCCTCCTGCTGTCTGAGACAACATCATGGGTAGTCACAATGCTGTAACTGAAAATATATAGCAAAGGCTTGCAAGAAAAGCCTACTCTCATTGGAAGCATAGATGTCCTTTAGCCTAGGGTTTACTGGGCTGGGTCTTTGATTTGTTGTAAACCAAGGAGAGCAGTTCAGACTGCTCCGAGGTGACCTCTGAACACACAAAGGCAGGCATTTTCCTTTTGATGATGATCTGCAATTTCTGCCTCGCTATTCTTATGTTAGATCCCTCTCTCAGCTGCAGAATTTGCATAACAAAACAAAACCACAGCCTAAGTAAGTATCCTTTGTGAAGTGACAGAACATAATGGCAAACACTTTTTAAATTGCAATGTAAAGCCATAGGCAGGTATGTGATGACACACATTGGCAGCGTGAGGGATTCTCAACCAAAGATATCATAAATTAAGCGTTAATCAACACATCAGGAGACAGCAAAGTGTTCCAATGATGCTAATGACCATGTCGTGTGAAATGGCAGGTTTGCCAGTATACAGTTAGCTTGGGTGGCGTGAATTACAAGTTGTTTGCTACGGCCACCTCACAATAGTACTATTCAGAAGTGCACTGGTAACACAGTGATTGGCAGATCTTTGGAACAGCACGGTGCTGCAGCTGGATAATTCCAGCGTATTCCTGGTTTAAGTACAATGAGAACATTGAATTCTAATCATGTCTCCCCTTCAGTGTCCTTTCCCTGAGCAGAATGAGCCAAAATCTATTTTTATGTCTCTCCAGTGAAGTTACACAAGGCATGAATTTGGCCATCTAGCTACACTGACAAATCTACTGCTGCTATAACAACAACAAGATTTCTCATATTTATAGTTTCATTCACAAGACTTCACTGACTCATTCAACACGGAGGGAGTATCATCCCTCTTCTTACAAAAGTGATAAAAGATTTTGTAGAAGAACAATTAATGAAACTGGAGATGGGAGTTGGGTAGGTGGATTCCCATTTCCTAAGACTACCCAAAGCACCCTGCTGCACCCACAGAATGTTGCCTTTGTACTGCAGCTGAGCACTGTCAGGAAAATGTCTATTTTCAAGGGTACGCATAGCACTACAAAAAAAAAAAAACCAAACCAGAGTCTGAACCCCGCATCTGCTGCCATGCAAAAATTCAGTAACACTTCATTTTCATGGAGGTCCTGCAATAATGGAAGTCAGGAGGTGTCCTTTTATTGACTTGCCTATACATTGGCTCAATTCTTTAAGGACTTAGTCATGTAGTCTTCCGAACCAGTTCTCAGGTGGCAGCTATCACTTCTCAAGCACTAAATACTTGCATGCCCAATAGGTGTTTTCAAGATGCCTAAATGGTTGGCTGTTCATTAGCTAGTTTTCTAATCAGCATGTACATTGCTCAGAGATGACTGCGGGTACAAAGAGGTAAAAATGGCTTCAAGAACGATGGTGTATCTTGAAAGCATCATTTGAGCGTTAGTAGCGTGGAATGCTGACTGACATGTTTCTCTGCCTCCACTGGACAGAACTTCAAATTCTCCAAAGAAAGAGATGAGTTCTTCATCAGTTGGATACTGAAATACTTTTGGCTATGCTTCAGGAACATCTAACTTGACAGAAAGTGATGATGGAAACCACTCATGCCCAAAGCCACAGTTTGAGGAGTTACACAGCCATAAGGTGTCTTTAGCATGTCTGTATTGTTTCTGACGCAATGCCTCCTTCAAGACCAAGCATGCTGCTAGAGTTGACACCAAGCCTGCAATGTGACCTTCTGTATGGCTAGACTCTTCCCTTCTGAGCACGTGAACTGGCCCAACAGTTTAGTATGTCATCAGTAGGCAGTACTCACAGCTGCTCCAGAATCTCCTCTTTCACAATGGTGTAACTGAAAGTCACCTATCAGTTTTCAGAAAAGAATAGACATTTCCGTTCTTAAATAATCTTCATTAAAAAGTTTATGATCTGCACTCACTCTAATAATAATTTTGTGGATTACTGTCCCAATTACTCTGTTAAAATTTTCATGTTTTGTGTTACTATACCTCCATCTTCATTTATCCAGTAGAGAAACAGATTCATTGTTCCAACTTCAGTTATTTGGTGATCTTCTCCATAGAGCCACAAAACCTGCTGGCAGCCTAGCTCCAGGGCTTCTTGCTGGGCATAGATAGAAGAACCATAATTCCTATCAGGGGAAAAAAAAAAAAAAAAAAAAAAAAGAATGAGCAAACAGTTATGAGTACCTGGTTGGGTATTTTCTCATTTCTATGCAAGGTTGTGTGCACACCTACCTTATAAGCAGGTGCTCTGCACAGTCACTGCCTGTCCCTGGAATATTTTCATTGGAAGTACTCTACTAGTATGTTACTAGATCATTTGTATCTACAACCCCAAAACTTTAAAGGGCTGAACATCATCAACAGCTCAAACACATCCACCCAAATTGTCTTAAAAATACCTCTTGTTCCATTTTCTGGATGTTCTAATCATTGCAATTAGACACCTTAGGAAAGCATTTATATTTATTTAGCAGTTGGCATCCTTGAGAGAGATCAACAATTCTCATCCAGCTCATGGTTTTAAAAAAAGCAAACCAGAACCATCTACCTCATCTCATATATGTCAGATGAACAGATGGGTCATATATGTCAGATGAACCTCTTGGAACACAAAAATCACCAGAGGCGAGTTATTTGTTTTCTAGTAAAAGACATTCACAGAATTAGTAGCTTCATGAGCTGCAGATGGGCCCTGATGAATTCCATATCCTTGAGGAGCAACTGTTTTCCTAGAACGCTGCCTACAGAGTGAACCTGACCAAATAATATGTGTTTACTCTGTAGCTGCTCTGAGCGGGGGTGTGTGTGTGTGTGTGTGTGTGTGTGTGTGTGTGTGTAACTCTCGCTTCTCATGTTCAACAGTCATCAAGACCCAAAGTCAGCAGCTCCAAAGTGCTGATCACATTGGAGTTAAGTTCTCAACTCTGGGCACAAATTAAGTCAGTAGTGACTCCAGACTATTCCTTTTTTCATAGCTGATGTATGAAGGATGCACAGGAAACTAAATATATTTTAAAACTAATCAAAAACTCACAAACAAAGAATAAAGGTCTCAGAACATCAGACTGAATGAAGGAAAGCTGTTTTCTTGCCCTTTGATTATTCTACTAGCTCAGCTGAACAGCACTTGACAACTACTAACTTCCTGCCTAGAAGAGAAATTCCCAGGTAGAAGCAATAAGCTTCATTTAAATCAAAGACCAAGGTCATATAATCAAGTCACTTATTTAGCCACATCCAAGTTGCTTGCTCCAGTCAAGCCCTAAGCAGCTTCACTCTACAAGTCGAGGACTTGGACGTTAAAAATTACGTTTCTACCTAACTGGTGCTCTGGCCTAGTTCAGCAGAAAACTGCCAGACTGTGGTCAAGTCAATGCAGATAATGGTCCCATGCTTTCCCTTAAACACCCATACTGCCCTAACTAACTGCAGATGGTTTGTCAGGACAGTTTGCCAAGGAAGGAGGTCAGCAGTCAATGCTGCACACTGCCCAGTTGGCAGCAAGCTGCTGTACTGAATGCTGCCTCACAGAATTGGTATCTTTAGTGTCAGCTTCTGCAAGGGGAACAGCCAAAATATTACATGAGCACCTTCCTTCCAGGTCCAGTTCCACAGCTTGAGATGCTTCAAAATTGCCACTGCAAATAGTCCATTGGCTGTAATATCCAAACAAAACTATGCAACTGAATTGTATAAATACTATTTGCAAAGAATAATTTTGAAATCATAGAATGGTTTAGGTTGGAAAGGACCTTGAAGATCATCAAGTTCCAACCCCCCTGCCATAGACAGGGACACCTTCCACTAGACCAGGTTGCCCAAGGCCACATCCAGCCTGGCCTTGAACACCTCCAGGGATGGGGCCTCAACAACCTCTCTGGGCAATCTGTTCCAGTGCCTTACAACCCTCAAAGTGAAAAACTTCTTCCTAATGTTTAATCTAAATCTGCCCTCTTCCAGTTTAAAGCCATTCCCCCTCGTCCTATCGCTACATGCCCTAGTAAAAAGTCCTTCCCCAGCTCTCCTGTAGGCCCCCTTTAGGGACTGGAAGAAATCTTTGTTATAGTACATTGATTGTATAACTGCTACATTTAATACCTCTACTTCTGCTGGATTAGATAATTCACTAAAAACCAAATCTCATTTGTGAGCTATGTAGAAGACACAGAATTATGTTTTCTTACCCTCCCAGTTTGCAGTCTCCTGTTCCTCCTTTCCAGGCTCTTACGTATTTTGGATCTGCCCATAAGGATATTGGATTAAAGCTTCCGCTTGCAAAGTAAGGGCCCACAGGGCTCATTATGACATACAGTAGGGCTTTAGTCGGCTTCTTCACTCCAAGGGAAGGCTGAAAATATGGAATGTAAACAAATCAAAAGTTATTGAGAGAAAATACTTATATTATACCATTAATATATATAAATATCATGCTATTACACTAAATGTATAAGTGTTATACTATAAATATTATACTATTAATTTATTAAAATATTTATATAGTATTTACACTAAGAGAAAACATTTCTATCACTTCCCCCTCATCCAAGCAACATAACAACCCTAATTTTATATACTGCCACCATTCACTTACAGGTGATTCATTTATCTATATATTATTCCAATCTTCTCAAATAGTTTCAAGGTTTTGAGAATTCAGAAATTAGCTTAACAAGATACTATATAATTACATGAATTAATCACAGCAGAAGCCTGCAAAGCCTTCTAGGGGGAGAAGTGGCAAGGACACAAGCTAGCAATAACAACAATGGAGGAACCACTGTCAGCTGCATCAGTGATGGGAATTAGCCAATGCCACTTAGAACTGGCATTTGGTAGAGTTGAGTGGTGGCCCTGTGACAAGCTAAAATAATTTGCCTGCTCGAAGTGGTTCACACAACAGTACAGGAAATAACCTAGAATGTATCACTTGGGTTTTTTCCCCTCCTCTCTGAGTGATGGCTTCTCATACTTCAAGTCATCACCATCGACACTTGAAGGTGGAGGTAAAAAGTCTGGCACTGGGCAAACTCTGAATCCTGTGGCAGGAGACTCAGCTTAACTATATGATCCTTTGCACAGCTCAGGACTGACCTCAGAATCACAGAACGATTGAAGTTGGAACACACCTCTGGAGCTCACCTTGTCCAACCCCCATATTCAAGCAGGACTACATACAGCTGGTTGCACATGATTCTTGGGATCTTCTATGCAACTGAATAGGTTACTATTTTCTCTCTGCTCAGAGAAACCAGTCTCGTAAAAAGAACAAGCTCATCCTTGGTTTCTAAGATCAGGTCTCCATTGAAAAAAAAGTTATTTGACTTAAATTTTTAGAACCAAAGATCTAAGCAAAACACTGTGCACAAAGCACGTGAAGCTAAACTGGGAGATGGGAGGGCAAATAATAGTGTAATAATGGAAGTACTTGAAAATTCAAATAAGCATTTCTCAGGTGGCAAGAGGGTTCTTTTTATTTCTGTGTACCTTACGTCTTCAGCAAAACTTCTAACAAGATTAACTAACCGAGATCTTGATATTTTTCCTGATTCTTACAATATCATTCAAAAGATCATGCTGACTGGGTTTATTAATTGTGCTAATTCATAAAAGTTTAACAGGACATGTAACCCAGAAACAACATATGACATCACAGAAAGCCCAGATGTGTTGGTTAACCTGAACCAAACCTCAAAATCAAAAGGATTTAAAAAAAAAAAAGGGGGGGGGGATATTAATTTTTAATATTAACACTTTACAGTCACCGAGTGGAGCTCCTTACATCTGAAAATCTGCAACTAGTTTACAAGCATTACCTTAATGACATCTTAGAACACATGTGAAAGGTATAATGCTCATGTATGGTAACCACTTACAGATGTGGATATTGCAGAAGAGTAACTTGCCTAATTAGGAACCATATATTCTTTAGCTTCCTTGTCCTATGCTCTACCGTTATAGGTGTTTTTTTCTTGCCACTGCTAAAATAAACCCCTTAAAGTTTTAATTAAAATGAACTCCTTGTTTCTAATTCTCTTTATAAATACTATAGGCTTGACTCACATCCACACGAAACTCACAGAATACACATTAATGCCTTCTTGCTAAGGAGCCTCTTCTAAGGTCAGGTTTATCTGGGTTCAAGAATAAATTAACACAACAACTTGTTCTTAGTTCTGTTAAAAGTCTCTCTCAGAAAATCCATCTTAATTTACTGGGTAGCATCTTCCAAAATCTCCTCACGAAGGTCAGGATAGAGGTATGAGATGAAATAACAAAATCTATGCAGCAAATTTCTGTTCCCTCACATTAGTATTTTAAAGGCATGCTTTACCATTTCACAAATTACTATGGTTTTAGTACAAAATTAAAGTTGATTTAAATTTTGCCATTAACCCTCAGAACCGTTAATCCAAGTTTACTTTCTGTGGTCTGAATCAATGTGTCCACTAGGTGGTGGTGTGGTCAAAATAAAATTTGTGAAGTAGCGCGACAGGTGACTAACTCAGAAGTAGAAACATAAAACCAAGTTGCCCCTGAACTGTAATATTGCTGCATATTTCCCTTCATGGATGGAGGTTTTTGTCTCGTGCTTAAATGAACAAAAGTTAAGAGGAGGGGGAAAAAAGAAAAGCTTCACACCTCAGTTCCGATTAAGGTAGGACGGATATACAGGCTGGCAGCGGTTGAGTATGGAACCCACTCCTTTTCCACTTCCACAAGCTTCCGGATGCACTCTAACAGCTCATTCTGGTCAAAACACTGGGAAGGAAAAGAAAAGGGAGAAAAATAAATGGAAAGATATAACCTGAACACTTGGTGGTCTTTATAGATCCATCCATACAGTAAGGGGAACACTCCATCAGGGTATGTGACAGTGACAGTCCGTAGAGGTTCACAGGACTAAATCATCTTCCTTGAGTTCGTTTCTTACAGAATTTAAGATCCCGGAGTCTTTGCCACTGTGCCTTTTTAGAGAGTATCCTGCTGCTACAAAGTATCCTCCTAAGATGGTGAAAAGGAGCCATTGGCTCTTCTTGCCTCCAAAGCACACGGAGAGAACTCCCTGTGCAGTCAACACCTTCACTTTGGCTCCCTGCAAGCCACGGCACCACCTCTTCTGCAGAAGGGTGCTGTGGGTTATAGCTCCAAGGGGCCCACCAAGTCTCCCAGTTTTACAAAATGGCAAAGTTTGTACAGTCATAAAGCTAACGAGAGTGGGAAGAAATTCACAGGCCAATATACAACTGCTAAAAGCCGCGTTAAGTTGCTGGCATGACCAAAAATGAAGGCAGTCGGAGGCTGAAGGACTTAACTGAAGCGGAATGAAGAAAAGGAAGAACATTAGCACCAGAACAATGTAATCAGCTGTCTGCATGCAAATACCTGCAGAACAGCACTCATCCCTCAGAAGTAGACTGCATACATCTGAGGCAGTAAGGAGACAACAAAGAAAGCAAAACATTGTTGTGATTTAAAAGAAAAACACATTTCAAGCAGTTCATTGAATAAGATCTCAAAGTTTTAACCGAACTGTTCAAGAGTTAGACCATTTGATAAACTTGATACTACTGTAAAGTTTCAGAGATTTGCACTCTGAAAATGCAAATACACTCTGACTTAAGGAGAATAAAATGCCTTGGCTGCTTACTGGCAGAGTTGCTCGTCTCGCTGATCGCGCCATCCTGTCCATGTTGAGAGTTGGCCGGAACAGGCGGATTTTGCCATCCACTCCTCGGTAAGCCTTCATTCCCTCAAACAACTACCAAGCCAAAAAGAAGGCAAAAAAATCAAATAATAGTTGATACATTATGCCATAATGATCTGTGCAAAAGCAGAACACACCCTTTGGAAATAAAAGAACTTAACTTTCCTGCTCACAGTACTCAAAGCATAAAAGCTAACTAGTCAATCCTTGCAACACACTCCTGTGAGGTAGTATTATGAAGGTTATATTACAAAGATGACCTGCCTATGCTTCAGATATATCTTTCTCTGTCAGGAGACTTAATGATAACCTTTTTTTTTTTTTAAATATAATTTGGTTACAACAATTAAAATTTGTAGCATGTGTTTGACTTCACTGTTCCCTCACGTTCTGACTGATACATAAAGAAAAGATCTTATGGAAAAGATCTACAGAATTTAATTATATATGTTAATAATTTTTAGGGCTCAGTCCAAATGCATTTTGGTAGGAAGCATAGAATAAGGTAGTTAAGGGAATTCTGTTGCAGTTCTTGCTGTAGTTGTAGCAAAATCTTGGTCACTTATTTCCCCCATATAGCCCTACGCTGTGGAAGGGGGTTTAGCTGGCATGACAGATGCATCAGCCTTACACTAGAGGAAGAATGCATGGCATTTTTTTATCTATACTTTACAGGAAACCTAAATTAGTCACAATTATTCCATCAAACTGCAGAATCCGGATGACTGGTGCTGAAAATCAGTTTACCTGAAACCCTTATCCCACCAGTACCCTCCCAGCAGAATGCTCTACAGCATCCCCTAACCACAGCAAAAAACATATGCCCACAAAATATCAATAGCTATTTTTCAGTTACGGATTGATAATTTTCAGTTATAGTTATAGGCAGAACACACATGTATCATATAAGCTCACAGTAATATATACATATATACAGGTATTATTTAGATTAAGTATTAAAGGATCACTTATGCTTATAGACAAGAGTTCATATTTTTAGTATTTATTTTCTAAAGCATTTCTTTGTACATTAAATTTCAGTGTAAGTTCTATGAATTTAACTGCATCACTGCTGTCAGTCTCCTCAAATTTCTCCTCCTGACTGTTCCACAAGAAATGGCTGGAAATACATTCTATGTGGTTGAAAGTCTACATATGCAAAGTTTTTATTTAAAAAAAAAAAAAAATCCTGTATTTGCATATAAGTAATTTTAGTAGAATACTCAAGGTTTCATTATATTAAATTCTCTAACATTTTCCCATAAGGATCAGTGAAATGCAATGTTTAGAAAGCTTTTTCGCAGTCCCATGACAGAGCTAGGTCCTTCCACATGACAAATTTTAATTGGGTTGTAACTGGGTTGCAGGAATCCCTGCAATTTTCCTTAGGGTACATGCCAACTATGTACCGGAACCAGAATTAGAACCTAGAACTTTTCACTTCCAAAATTTATCTTATTCCTGTGTCAATGCCAACCTTATTAAAAGCTTTGTATGCAGTTTTGAAAAAGAAACTGTTCCTAGGATAGACATTGTAGCTACAAGAAAAACATTCTATCTTTAATAAAGGATGGCATAGCTGGTGACATGGTTGATAACTTTGATGTGATTTTTATGGGGCCAGTGACTAAAACCACATTTCTGTAATGCTACTTTCTTATCACAGAACAGTTGTTTCCCCCCACCCTTCTCCCCAACACATTCACAGAAATTTTAATGAGAGGGAAGAGGAAGGAATGTTACTACTAAGATTTGACCAATGGTTTGAAAGAAGTAAGAATCACATCATTACTGAAACACAAAGCCTTCTCAAGCTGTTAAATATTTTTCTCCAAAAAGAAATACCTTTTAACCTACCAGAGCTCAGTAAAACCTTTCACTCATTAAAGAGGGAGACAGTGATGTGTTCCAGAAATGCTTAGCTTGAATAAAAGCAACTGCTGCAGTTGCTTGATGGTTGGTTGCTACAGTGGTGTGCAAACAATATTTTCTGACATCTTTACATCACAGGAGCTGGATCTGGAGTTCAGCAGATCCAGACTATCACACTGCATCATGGAGGGCAAGGAGAAAGGGGAGGGAATGCCAAATTCATCATTTTTATTATACCCACTGTGTATTCATTGAGCCACAGCATTGGCACCAGATTCTCCTCTGTCTGTCCTCTTGGCTAGAGGAAACGTGATGCAATAAGGGTAAAAGCATAAAAAAATGGAAAAAAATATAAGAGCATATTCATGTTAGCAATTATTTCAGACTGAGCCAGAGGCCGAGCATTAAAGCAATTTGCTACTAAGAGTGAAATATAGATTTGGGACTCCAGCGTGGTTTCTTACTTCTTGGGCAGATCAAGAGCTGCAGCCTTAGTCACAGGGGCCTGTTGTAATTTGCACAGGACCTTTGGAGGCTTGGTGACTGGATGGAGAAGTACCAGCAACAACAAAAGATGGTGAAGGCAGGGGCTCAGGGACAACAAGCAGCGAAAAGCTTGATACCCTTATACCAGTGGTTTTAAAAAAAAAAAAAAAGGGAGAAAAAAAAAAAAAAGATAAAAGAAGCACAAGCTACTCCACTAACTTCAGTGGAGGTGCTCCCACCCACCCAGAAGCGGGAGGAGAAGCAAGCTTCCATTTCAGCATATATGCCCTACTGAGGCTCTCACACAGATGTGAGTATAGCCAAAGCTGCTCTGGAGGCACAAAAGGCAGCTTTAGGCAGTAAGCAGCTAAGCACGGAAACAGTTAACCACGCTGGTTTCCGACTTAACATTTCACTTTCCAAAGTTCCTTGCTGTACACGCTCTGCTTAAACACACTTGTATATGCTGAATGCATCAGACCTAGTTTGGAGCCCTCCAGACTTTTTGAGTTGCAAACAATCATCTGTCTAGTCTGTCCTGCAATCTGAGCTACAAACCTTTAAAACCGCTTAAAATAACTTTCACAAAGTGCACGTTCAGTCTCCAAACTAAAGCTACTCTTGGACTCTTACACGGTCTTATCCAGTGCTTCATTATGTTACACCAGAGACAGTAATTGGACCGATCCACTGTCAGCGGACTAGAATGCTTTTTCAAATGGACTTGTCACCACATAAGAAAGGACTCACCTTCGCTAGGTTAAGTGAGCTGGAATCCACAGGCCAGAGCAGCCTCTGAGTTATACTAACATAAATACAACCCTGTTGTCTGGAAGAACATCAGTTAACAAAACAAAACATAACTTAATCCTAATAAACTTCAGAGAGTAATAGTCCTTGTGTTACAAAGCTATAGCTTCAAGAGCTAATGAAACAAAATAGCAGTTTTCAAATCAATTCACTACTCACTTCTATAGCATAATGCAGAGACGAGGAGGCTGGATGCAACGAAAGGTTCTCAAGCGGCTTAATATAAGGTTTCTCCCATCCAGAAGCCACGGACCATTCAATTGTCAGCATATTATCAGTGAACACAGTTCCAAATACCAAACCACTGGGGTCTGGCTTTTCCTTGAAAGTTGTAGCTGGGGTGATAATCAAGTCTGCAGCCTGAGGGAACACGAAGACAAAAATGAAGTGTATACAAATAATTAAGTCAGACTGGTTTAAAAATCATTCTGCATCATTGAACATGGAAAAATGCAGTATTTCAGCTGTGGGGACACTTAATGACAGAACAGATAAAGGCAGCTAACCTCCACCTCTAACTAGCTCGCAAAGTATTCATACCATGTATGCACACAATCTGCACAGTGCTGCTTATACCAAAAGTAGTTGGCATATTTTGAAGCACTGTTAAGTACGGGAAGCGGTACAAGTTGTAAAAACAGAAAATCAGCAGACGAAAATTTCTTGGACATTTAAATTAACACATCTATACAAGTTCCAGAAATACCAAATTGTTGTACCTCAGAACATAAGCTGATCATCAGAAATTAATCCCCCTCACGACTAAGTAGATATGTTATGCTGATTTTCCTTTAATGCATAAAACCAATATGAGAGATCAGAGCCAGCAGATTACTTGGGTCACACTAGCTTATTTAATCACATTCATATTTTCCTAGAAAGATCCCATTAGCAAAGAGGGATAAATGTTTCCCTGCATTACTTTCTCTTACAAGCCATGACTAGCTGCATGAATGCAGCAGTTTTTTGTAATGGTTTTGGCTGGGATAGAGTTAATTTTCTTTATAGTAGCTCGTAGTGTGAATCATCCTGAAGAACAGCAGGGGAAGAAGGAAAGCAGGATCTCTGGCTCGTCACTCCCCTTTTATACACAGATCGGGCTAAACAACTAGAGAGGGCTATGAAGTGGGCAGAGTCTTGATCTGCCCTCTCCATTCTCTTTCAACATCATCTGAGCATTTAAGCTCTGCCTGTCAGAGCGGCAAGGAAGAATTCAGCAAAGAATTGTATTTGAAGCTCCATCTTCCTTCCTAACATGACTCAGAAAGCATTGACCCTTATTACAGACTCCCCAGGTGAAATCTTACTCCTCTGTGTTGGGTACATATAGAATAGGCTGGAATTCGGGTAGTTCAGACTATTGTTCAAATGATTTGCACGTGCACTGAAAAGGTGGCTCTGCAAGAGATATCACTGACTTTGACTTTTCAGACTCAGCACACATTTTGCAAAATGAGAAAAAATTAGTCCCAAGCTTTTGAAAAAGAACACACACCCCTGTCTTTGTACACAACCTGATTTTCAAGATGTATTTAATGAACAATAGCCTATTGATTGATTGGTTTTGGTTTGGGTTGTGGTTTGTTGGTTGTTTTTTTTTTTTCTTAATGGCTTAGATGTGAAATTAACTTAGAGCTGGAGCACATGAATAGCTAAAAGCTTGTTTCAAACTATCTCCAATTATATGGCTTCTCTAGATATTACAGTGCATTAGCCTGGTTGAACTAATACATAATCTGATGAAACAAAAATTACTCTTCTTAACTCCTTAGAGTACCCTTTATCCTGCTGACAGTAAACGTGCCAATGGGAAAAGCACTACTTAGTGATGTCCTGAAAAAAAAAATTAATTTTACCTGGCAACATCTTATAATGTGCTTTGGGAAAAAAAAAAAAAAAAAAAAAAAAAGAAAGATACCACAGAAGAGCATGGATCAAAATAAAAGCCACAAAGGAGCCTTTACAATTATCCACAATGCAAGACTCAGCTCAGGAAAACATTTATGCAGGAGCAGGATGTCAATGGGGCTTAAGCGAGGATGTAGAACACAGTTACATCCTTTGCTTTATCTCTGGACAGAATCACAGCTTCTCCCACTGCTGGTGGTCAGCCACTGAGTCAGCCAGTCCAGGCTTCTGTCTCACATCTCAGGTCATTTTCATTAAGGTAATTATCTTTACAATAAACTGGCCTGGGGACCAGAATTATCACATGGAGGCTCATCCCCTAGAACTCCCATCAGCGTGCTGATTTCTGCTTTTATGCCTCAGTTTTCCCCTTCCTCAGTTGTGGCAGCACAACTAATTGAAAGGCAGCACCATAAAACAGCTTGCTGAGCTCAGCGGGGTTAACAAATAGCTTTTAGTTTAAGGATGGGGAAGGATTTTAACGTGGCTCTTCTCACAGACCCACAAGCACATATAGAGGGGGCAGCAAGCTTCAGCCACAAGTGAAGAAACACTCACTTGGGTGCATTTGGGCTTTCTTTGACCCAGTTTTGCCACCAGAGATATTTTTCCAGATTTGGAGACCTGGGGTTCAGGTGAACCTTGGACAGAGTCTCTGTCATGTGACTGATAATTCAGTAAAATTATGCCGACCAAATACAAGCACACTGTTATGCTCTAATGGTTAATACCAAGAGGGTCTCAGATGCAGAGTCACTCCTGTGCTGGATCATTAGAGATAAGAGGTGGGCCAAGTGCTAACTCCTACAAGTTCAACAAAATGGGTATTCCCATGTGCTGGGCAGTCACACAGCAGTGCCTATAGCTCAGAGCGGTAGCCCATACTGCTTAGCTCTCAGTCCCAAGGATTGGGGACCTCCTGGAGTCACAAACAGAAATCCCTAGACTGGATTTCAGGTTGAGTCACTTGAAGGCAGAAAGCCTAGAGAGGTAGGTAGCAATGATGCTTATCCAGAAAGGAAGCAACTAGTTTCTGGACCACAGAACTTCCTGGAGCTGCATATTCTGAACAAGGAGCCCACTCGCTCTTTCTCTCCTGCTTCAGCATTCAGGGAAACTAGCTTTTATTCAGGCATTTTGCAAACACCTGACTCAACAATATCAGGCACAACACTTGACATAACAATTCCTTCAAACAATAGTAGGAACACTCTGCAGAAGGCCACAAATATAGGCTAAACTGCACGGACCAGTAGGGCAACAATTATGAAACTGGCAAAAAGGCAATTTTCCTGATCCTTATAATCCTGTTAAGCTCTCAGGAGATGCATTTAAGATTTTTTTTTGGCCATTACATTCTTCAGATCCTTTCTTAAGGCTCTTTC